TGCACTTCCTCCTCTCTTGTGTTCAGTCACTGTCCAAACAAGGAGCCAACCTTTTTTAAACACAAAGGTAAGGGATTCTTCACACCCTCACTCCATCCACTTCAACTTCCCCGCCCAGCAAAAGCACACCACTGACGTTGTCAGTCCTCCACTTTCAGAGTAGGTAACAGTGGGGATACAGCAAGAACATCTTACACTGAATTTTGGTTTTGCAGAAAACCTCCCTTTTGGGGCAGGAGAAGGAAGGCCTGTTGCAAACAGCTGCTAAGCACCATAGCTACACTGCTCAGTTAATCCCTGACAGACATGAGAGATGTGGAAGTTACAAGTTGGGTACCCAAGTGCCGTTTTGGCATTGCTGTTGAGCGCACCCACCAACCACAGCTGTGTCTTGATGCCAGCTGTACCTGGTACAGCTCTGTCAGCCAGCTGCAGCACTTGGGGATGGCTTCAGCAGCTGCGAAAGGGTGGCTGTGGCTCGTGAATATCTGAAAGGCTTTACCCCTTCCCAGCACGCAGAACCGACATCTTTTATCACTGAGGAAAGGAAACCGAGTTTACCATTTATTTTTTAATACAATTAAAAGGAGGAACCCCAGGAAAAATGTTATATACAAAATACCTGTCATAAAGAGAGCAGCTCACCTGGTACAAAGACCCAGATATTAAGCTGAAAAGGTCTCACAGAAACCATTTGTGTGCAATTCACTGAATACAGCATAAGGCAATAGAAAACACGATTCATAGTATAAGTGCTTAAGGAAAAAAATAAGCCAAATAAACTGCCCATCAAGAATATAAAAACAAACTGATGCTAGACATAGTTACCAACAAAACTTCTTGTTCCCTTTGGAAGGGGTTAGAGTGCCACAGGAGCCTGTGGCAATGCAGATAAGTTTGGCATAGTGCAAAATTTGCACCCCTTCTGCAGAAGACTGTGCAGTCGTCAGTCAGGAGGAGAAGCAGAGCACGGGATGGTCAGAGGGAAAATGTGATGGTACAACACTCAGAGCTGTGCTGTGCTTGGCAAGGTGGAAATGCATCGTGGTTGGAGCAGGGAAGAAAGCACAATGTTGAAAACGAGCAAAGTGAATCCAACAAGAGGGTGTCAGCCTGCAGGAAGCTGGTAGCCTGTGCTGGAAAGAACAAGCATAGACTGAAAGACAAGGAAACTTGAAAAGCGTGAGCTGCCATTGCCCATACATCAAGTCCTGCAGTAAGGTTAGGCTGCCTTGTGCCAACACTGCTTTCTGTGCCACCTGTGGTCTGCTTGCAACCAGAATGCAAAAGTGCAGAGAGCATTGTTTCCTTATCACCCACCTTAGCTCCTTTTCTCTGTCAAAAAGCCCTCCATAAGAATGCTCTAAAGTTTCCATTTAACTTCAAACAATGGGAAAGCAGTAAAAACAAGCTGATGGGGCAGCATGACTCTGCAGGAGTAGAAAGGGAATGTCGTATTCTTTTTTTTTTTTTTTTTTTCTTCCAAGTGGCTTGATCCCTTTGCCTCTCGTCTGTAAACTGCTTTTTTGTCCTATTTCCTCCAACAATTTCTCAATGTGTACCTGCTAGAAAAAAAAGTTAAATAGATGGGATATTTCTTTGCTGTGTTCTAGCAAGATAAACAGCTCCCACAAAGAGGCCAGCATGGTGCTTTCAGGCCTTGTTCTGCCCTGCTAACAAGACACATGGATGGAGCAGTAAGGGAATGGGTACAGCTAGCAGTGGGACAGAGCAAAAGGGAAAAACCAAGCCTGTCAAAATCAGGGCAGGGTTGAGTAAGGTTAGTATGCAGAGTTGCTTAGGAAGCTTGTTGGGGCTTGCGGCTTTTTCCTCTTTTCCCCTCAAAATGAGAAACTACATTTTCCTACACAGTAGGCAAGAATATCACCCAGATCAGATGCGTCCTATCCAGTGTTACCATCCTGTAGGGAACTTCCTTCAAGTCCTGGCTGGGTAGAGACCGCTGGCAGAAAGCCGTGGCATTCAATGCAAAGTAAATCCCTATGTCGCTGTGAGAGAGTCCCAAGAATCTAAGGAGAGCCTACCCTAACAAGTAATCCTAGGCAGAGGTACAAACAAAAGCAGACCTGTGTTTATGAAGCAAGGCCCTGAGTTACGTTTCATTACAGTAGATACATGTGAGATAACCACCAAGTGTTACAGAAATCCAGATACATGTGAGATAACCACCAAGTGTTACAGAAATCCAGATGGGGCTTTACGACAACTGGGGGTAGGAAGGAATGCACACAAAAGCTTGTACACGTGTATGTGTACAGGTGTGCGTGCACTCACACACGCCACCACCAGTGGGCTGTGTTGTGTCACACGTGCTCCTGGACCTCCGAGTAACTTAATGGAGCAGCTGTACCTTGGTACCCGGGCTGGCGAGGCCATCCTTTCAGGAGAGAAAGAGTACGAGAACTTCTGCCACTGCCATCGATAAGCAATAGTAGTCAGCTGTGAGGTGTGCCGTCAGTATGTATCCTTCCCTAAAACCTCTCATAGCACTGAAAATAAACATGAGGAGTACAGTCCCACCTCAAGGTGCTTTTTCATGAAAGGTGTGTGCATTACTGCCTCTTTAGGGGAGAGGGGACTTGCATCTTTGATGGTCAAGTCTGAATCCAAAGTCCTCCAGCACAAAGAACAGTACTGGCTGATACCCCTGTGAGGCTGAAGAGAAAAGAAGTTGTAGCTGCTCCCAGTCGCAACATGGAGGCACAGCCTGGCTTGAGGTCGCGTGTCGGGGTCTGGGGTCTCCCAAAGGCGAGCTCTGCATTCCTAAAGGGGTGGGTGGACATGGGCTACCTGCGAGGGCTCTGCAGGGCCCCTGATTTTCATAGAGGCAGCGTCAAAGCCAGAGGATCCCAAACTCTGACGACAACTCTTCTGCCCCATTGCAGGAACGCAGAGGGTCGTCCCCGTTGGAATTTCAGTGACCCTGTTGTAAGGAGACCACCCCACAGCTTCTGTGGCGTAGGTGGGGTTTTGTATCCATTCACACAAGATTATGTTGTCAGTCTTCTTGAGCAGAGTTCTCTACTGCGGTCATCCCCTTCAGAGGGCCGAAGGGTCAACGCAGTAGGCATTGCTGTACAATGAGCAGTGGGGACTGCAGTGCGGAATACACAGGATAAGAAACCTGAGGGACACAAAGAAGAAGGTTTACTGATTTTTTCCACCTCTTTCTTAATCCTAAACGTAAGCCAGAATGTGGCAAGCCCAGACAAACGGGGATCACCTGCTATAGCCCTCCACGAGAGGGCTCCCAGTGCAGCAAAGCAGAGCTGTTCAGAGCCGACAGCTCAAGACGGGCACCGCCGTGAGCTACAGACTGGCTCTGCACTTACTGTGAAAACCTTACTGTGGGCTGTACAGAGGTGCAATCCCTCTGCGAAGCGAGGATGACTAACGAAGGCACTGCCCTATTTAAGCAGCAACAGGACGTGACTCAGTGCATCCCACAGTGACAAGATGTCAGCCAGCCACTGAGGAAGCACAGCCTCCACCCCTGTCCACAGACTGCAGCCATTCCAGGCACTGGAGCTGGGAAGCACCAGCCGCTTGCAGAAAAAGCCTGCCAAACTTTTATAACAAAAAAGGAATGCGGCAGAATGGATTTATTTGGTAGGTGAACTCCTGCCACTCCCATCACAAAACCCCCCAGAATTCATGCTAACCAAGGCTCTAGTATCTGCTCCAGACAGGGCCTTCCCCAGAGGAAAACATGAGTGGGTGGTCAAGTTTGGAAATGAGACGAGTGGCTTCAATGATAGTTTCCCCTCCTTTCCACCCGAAAAATGTTAAGCTTTTAAGATTACTGCAATGCACAGTGTGACAAATTCACAGCTTCTAGGACTCTACAGCTGTTACTCTGTGCCATGACTCAGGCAATTCAGCGGGCTGTGGTGAGAGCAGTCACCAGGATAATGATGTGAGTAAGAACAGTTAGCTGCTAATCTTTCCTTAAGTCTCTTGACTTGAAAAATGTCTTTTTGGAGGACACAGCGCTGAACACAGCTGAGCTTTCAAGCCAAAATGAATATAATGCTTTGTAGTCATAAAACCTATGAAGCCTTGGTAAGCCAGACTTTTTCCCAGCCCATCCTTCACAACACCTCATTATCAAAAGTAACTCCTTTTAAAATACGAGTGTTTTGTACAAGTCTTAGAGAGGAAACTTTTCCTTCTCCATTCCTCCAGCTGCCGAAGGGAATGGAGATATCTCAGAAATGGACTGGCATTGCTCATCTTACTGGGAAAGCTGGAGTTGTTCTCTTGTTGTTCACCTCTCCCTCACCACCATTTGGTCAATCCTTCATTTCTAGCACCAGTGATGTTCTCATGTCTGTGCATCAGATCAGGCATGAGGCTCACAGGGCATCAGCCAGAAATAACCTCTAGGCCACAAGTGGGACCTGTAGTAGTGATGAGCTACTCACATGTGAGTCCAACACATCAGGAACTAAAAGACTGCCCAGTTTTTAGTTGGGAGGCCAATAAAATGCACAAGGGCAGTGGCAGGGGATGGATGGCACTGCAGATCCTGAGAGATGGACGACCATGCTACAAACCCACCTCTCAGATATTAACCCGTGTCCTTACACAGGTTCAGAGGAGACACTGGCAGTCAAAGTCGTCAAATACTCCTTTTCTTTAATCTGTCTCTCCAACCCCATTTAGTCCCTAAAAATTTATATTAAGGAAGTGAATGCCACAAAAACTTGGATGCCATCCAGGCAGGGCCCATTCTGTGGAGAAAGCAGCTTAGCAGCCCAGAAAATTCAGTCCTCAATTTGAAATAACCCAAACAAAGCAATGGCCCACAAGCAACATAAGCACCATTCCTCTGGTCACCTGACCAAGAAACACCACATGTCTGTGTTGGCAATAGGGCCCTAACGCTTTTACTTACCTTAAAAAGACAGCACACACTTGCATTAAAAGCCACACATGGTTTTGTGAGCTAACATCACACATGAATCATAGTATTTGAGAAGCTATTTTACCAAGAGAAGAATGGTGAAGAAAACTACCTGGCAAACATGATCTGGTCATACAGATGATGTTTCAGATGTCACTTTAGAGCTCACGGGTGGCTTCATGCACTCTTTCACACCCTCTTCATCTGAATCCTGAGGCTTAAGACAGTGAGAACAGACTGAAAAAGAAGAGCCCACATTAGCATCTAGAATTGCAGAAGACATAAAAGAGTGCTGAATCCAAATGTCTTCTTCAACAAAGTACAACTGAGAGTGGGGAGAAAGGAGAGAATGAAAATAAAGAAAAATAAATCTTTTCGGTCTAGTTACTTCTATTTTTCCTTGGCAGGACTTACCCCTGCAGTACATCTGAATATGGCTGGCCCATACCCATAGTCTGATCTGATAGAAAACATTTATATATAGCAGGGCTTTCTATGTGGTGTCATATGGATAAACCACTTCTCACCAGCACAGGGCAAGGGCCTCAGCCTGGCACAGACAGGTTGCTACATGCTAAAATAAGACCAGAAGGGAAATAATGGTAAAAGCTACATGTCACTAAATGCAGTTTACCAAGCAAGTGGAAGAACCAGCCAACCAATTCTTTCAGTGCTTCAAAAGGGTTTCAGATTAAACAGGCACCCTTAGTATCTCAGCATCTATGAATGACTTTTAATAATTTAAGTTTAATCCCTCTATTATTACAGCAAATTGTACATGCACAGATTTTAGGACATGGATCCCAAGCTGTTCTTTAAGTAACCTCTAATCTTGGTTGTGTTGGGTTTGTGGGTCAGGGTTTAAGTAGCAGGGAAGGGGCTACAGGGGAGGCTCCTGTGAGAAGCTGCTAGAAGCTTCCCCAGCTCCAAGTCGGACCGACCTCTGGCCAAGACCAAGCCAAACAGCAATGATGGTGTCTGCCTCTGTGATAACACATTTAAGAGGCGAAAAAAACCCTAAACCTGCATAATATCAGCAAGCAGTCAGAAGACAGGAGTGAGGCTATGTGAGGAAACAACACCGCATACACCAAGGTCAGTGAAGAATGAGGGGGAGGAGGCGCTCCAGGCACCAAAGCAGATCACCCTACAGCCCATGGTGAAGCCCATGGTGAGGCAGGCTGTCCCCCTGTAGCCCATGGAGGTTAACGGTGGGGCAGAGATCCACCTGCAGACCATGGAGGACCCCACACCAGAGCAGGTGCCTGCGGCCGAAGAAGGCCACAACTCTGCTCCACAGACACCAGAGCAGTCTGTTCCTGAAGGCCTGCAACCTGCAGAAGGGACCCATGATGGAGCAGCTCATGAAGAACTGCAGCCTGTGTGAAGGACTCACATTGGAGATGTTCATGGAGGGCTGTCTCCCATGGGAGGGACTCCACACTGGAGCAGAGGAAGAGTGTGAGGAGTCCTCCCCCTGAGGAGGAAGGAGTGGCAGAGACGTGTGATGAACTGACCACAACCCCCATCCCCTGTCCCCCTGCACTGCTAGTGGGGAGGAGATAACGAAATTGGGAGTGAAGTTGAGCCTGGGAAGAAGGGAAGGGTAGGGGGAAGGTGTTTTAAGATCTGGTTTTATTTCTCATTATTGCACTCTGATTTGATTGGTAACAAATTATTATTCTTTTTTTCCCCCAAGTTGAGTCTGTTTTGCCCATGACCATAACTGGCGAGTGATCTTCCCTGTCCTTGTCTTCACCCACGAATCTTTTGCTGTATTTTCTGCTCCCCATCACACCAAGGGGGAGAAGTGAGCAAGTGGCTGTGCAGTGCTTAGTTGCCACCTGGGCTTAAACCACAACACTGGCCTAATCTTGGTACTTCGTGTTAAATTAATTAAAGAGCAAAAAAAAAAAAAATCTAGAGTTTCCATTCTTAAATTACTGCAAAGATAGGCTGTGCGCTCCTCAAAGTAGGGTGTTGTGAACCTCAAAAAAACCATCCACAAGTTTTGGTCATCACCACAATCACACATCTGAGAACTCTTACTTCCGCTTTGTTCTATCTTTCTATTCTTCCCTCCCACACTTCAGCTCTCTGAAGCATGGCTTTTTGAGCTCAGAAACCATTCTTAGCATCAAGGCAGCTCCCGACTCGGCTTTCCATGTGCCAAAACAACCGAGGTACTCTCAGACCTATTCTGAGCTCCCACAATAGCTCTTGAAAGGGTGACCTGTAGCAACACCAGCAGGAAGCACTCTTAGGACAGGTATTTCCCTTCCCAGCCAGGTGGGAATGCACAGCAGCACCGAAATGTGACAGCTATACAAACTGGGAAGTTAAATTCAAGCTCTAGCTTCAGTTTCTTACCCTCTACACCTAGTGGTGGATAAAGTGCTGTACAAAATAGCACCACTCGACTTGGCAAACCTCCTCCCTCGGCACATTAGGAAAACGGGACTGAAAGGGAAATTCCAGTTTATGCAGCCACATCCCATGCTGTTGTAGGTGATCGCATTCTACCACGTTGGTGTGCTTTTACATCTACTTTAAAAGCAATGTGGTTTCTATATAAAAGACTGCTCCAGAATCTTACTAACTTAATGGTAAGGAACCTTTTAACTTCCAACCTGTATTTGTTTAGAGCCAAATCTTCCAATTCCAGTTCATTTTCTGCTACAATCAGAAGTTCATTATCCATACAGCTAACGGCACAGGCTGTGATCAGCTGTTATTTCCTTGATTTCAACCTGTCTACTGCTCTTCCATCGACATAGCCCCAGGGAAGAGCTAGGGAGAATGAGCACCAGTGTCATAGGGGCACATGAGTGGAAAACGAGGAGGTGCCCAGGTGTAGCCCAGAGTCACTGCTTTCCAGAAGCTTTCCTTCTTTGTGATAAAGCACCAAAAAGTACCCCAGACTGACTCAGTGGTCGCATTGACTTTTGAAGGGATGTGGTTGGTGAGGAGGGGAAAATAAAAACAGTAATGCTACCTCCACACCTCTGACTTGGGAGTGAACTTGTCTGAAGCTGAAAGAGAAGTAGCAGAAGACACAAGCATGACAAACTCCCAAGTGTCCCTGCTGCCGAACAAATAACCCCTTTCCAGCGGGGGATATCACTGCGACCGTGGTGAGCCGAGACACAGCCTGGTGACTTCTGGTTGAAGTGGGCTGAACACAGAGCACACTCAGTGTGGGATTCTCGTCTCCAGACCTGACTTCCCCAGCGACCTGACAGAGCTTGATTGGGTGATATTTATAACGTGTTGCAAGGCCTGCGGTCTCTCTCCAGGACTGCTTTTCAAAGCTGCCCACAAGGTGTGGATGGGACATCTACCGGGGCTGACTTTCAATACCGTCTGGATGTTGAGCTGCCTTTATAAATCCATTAGGTGTCTACCCACATCTTCAGAGGGTTTCTGGCTAGGTCAGCTTAGACATGATTAGGAGCACCCGGAGGTCCCCTTTGTCATTGAAAAACTGCTGGAGACATGTCTGGAGTTACTGAAAACTTCATAGGGTGCAACAGGGCACCTCAGCTGTGCCATTTTTGGCAACACAGACAAAAAAAAAAATCCATCTCCCCTGATTGGCATTCTCCTAAAAATGGAACACTTATGCTTCAGTCCTTTCTGTGGCCCTAGCACTAAATATTTTTGTAATTTTGGCTCTACAACTTTTCTGAGGGATTGTTTAAGTAAGGTATATAGAGATATCCCATTCTGAAACTGTCACTGCTTAGCTGTATCTATCACGATCACCAAGACTCTTGGCATCTTCAAGCATCTTAATAAATAAAAATGGACCTGTGTGAATCTCTTTAATTCTGTATACCCCCGATTTTGAAAATATTCTGATCTGCTGTCAAACCTCCCCATCATCCCTCCACTCTCAAACCTGAGCCCTAGTGCTGCCTGCACACAAAATGTAGGAAAGTCCAGAGCTAGGCTTAAGTTCTGTCACAGTAGATGCTGCATGAAAAAAAAGGAAATGAGAAGGTGGTACAAAAATACCTAGTGTGTCAGTATAGTTTCTAAAAATGTGTATTTTACGTAGAAACTCCATAAGCAGTAAGAGACTGTTTCTTGAAAAAGGGGCTACACTTACCATGCCTTGGGAGGTATCTTGCTGCTAGGGTGATAGCCAAAAGGAAGATGATCATGATGATAATTGAAGCAGTAACGACATTATAAGACTGAGGCACAGTAGGGACAACACATTCATCTGTTTTTTCTGAGACAGAAGAAATAAAACATAAATAAAAGGCCCAACAACAGACCGGCATTTTTCATGTAAGAGCGAATTCATGTATGTGAATTCTGGTGGTTCTGGCCAAATTCTAACTCAGATATTCAGCCTGAAAATTTACCTGTTCAATAAACAAAGCAGGCACATAAATTTCTTCCATTTCTCCACATTTGCTATGTGCTGAAATTTTTAACATACCCACAGAATCTGAATTGCTGGACCTTTGTCCAGAACAGAATTGAGACAGGCAATACTGGAAAACACAAAAGCTGCTTTTAAAGACACTGGTTAGGCTTGGTGGAAAAGTCCGAGTCCATATCTAGAAAACTTCCATTCTCAAAGGTTACTCTGCAGTTTTTCATACTGTTTGCACCAGATTTACGTCTAATTTTTCCCTTCTGAATTCACAGGTGACAGTGATGCATTAAATAGACTGGAACAGCCTTTATTCTGCAAGTCAGGAAGAGAGTGTTGTGGCAGAGTTCATTTCCAGTGGACCTGTACCCTTTGGCTTTTCACCACCAGAGACGACCATTCTGCCACTTGGACACTAGAGCAGGCAACAGCCCGTTCTCATACAGTGCAGGACAACCCTAACTCAACAGGAGGGACAGACTTGGTGCGTGTTCATAGGTCTTTGGATTTCCATCATCTGCATCTGGCACAAGTAAGCAACACTCGGCTTCCAGTATGATCCGCTGCACAGTCTTCCCCTCCGCCGTAGGGTTTGCCTCCTGTGTTTACCAGAGGCTGAATTCTGTCTGGAGCTCTGCTCATCAAAGACTTGCTTAGAGGACTATTTCCATCACAGAATCACAGAACATTAGGGATTGGAAGGGACCTCAAAAGATCATCTAGTCCAATCCCCCTGCCGGAGCAGGAACACCTAGATGAGGTTGCACAGGAAGGCGCCCAGGCGGGTTTTGAATGTCTCCAGAGAAGGACACTCCACAGCCTCTCTGGGCAGCCTGTTCCAGTGCCCTGTCACCCTCACTGAGAAGAAGTTTCTTCTCAAATTTAAGTGGAACCTCCTGTGTTCCAGCTTGTGTCCGTTACCCCTTGTCTTATCATTGTTTGTCACCGAGAAGAGCCTGGCTTCATCCTCGTGACACTCACCCTTTAAATATTTATAAACATGAATGAGGTCTCCCCTCAGTCTCCTCTTCTGCAAACTAAAGAGACCCAGCTCCCTCAGCCTTTCCACATAAGGGAGATGCTCCACTCCCTTAATCATCTTTGTAGCCCTACGCTGGACTCTCTCCAGCAGTTCCCTGTCCTTCTTGAACTGAGGGGCCCAGAACTGGACACAATATCATCACACCAGAATAGGAGCAGTTCCCCATCTCAAAAATAAAGCAGTGGGAGTTTTGTGACTGCTGTTGTCACTGTTGATTGCACCCTCCTCTGAGAATCTGTGTGACAACAGTATATTACTATTATTTTTGTTGTTGCTCTCCTTTTCTATGTAGTATGATATTAATAACTGTCTTCCACCACATCTCTAGAGACATTATGGACTACATCCAGCAATAACCAATATTCATAAAGCACTACTTTCTGGCATTTGTCCTGAACCTGAATGGCACCTCTCTTCACGAGCCCCTTTGATTTTAGTAAGATTGATGAATAAGGTACAATTCCCTAGGAAAAACTGCGCTTCTCCAGCTTCCCTTGAAAGTGCCCTTATCTCTACGGTGAAAACATCAGACCCAGTGACATTTTAGAATACTTTTTTGGTAACAATATTTTAAAAAAAATCCTTTTGGCTTTAAGAATTTTATTGCAAATCCCCTTCTGCTGCAAAACATCTGGACTGTAGTTTGCTGCCTTCCCTCATGCTGTTTCCACTTGTGCCTCAAGCTTTTCAAAGCACAGACTTATCTATCATGTTATCACTTTTAAGCTACACATAATGATGGACTTTTTTCCATGCGAGTTAACACTAAATTAAATGTGTATGAAAGCAGAATTTTGCCTAGACCCGAGCTGACAGTTCCCGTCACTGAAGCGGGAACAAACATGCTTGTTAAATGAGGAAATTCTCTTTAAGCTGTGGCCTTTAAGGTACACACATTTCTCAAGTCGCTCCATTCAAATACCAGGTCTGTGTCACACAATTGGCAGCAAGACCGTGTTGGTACAGAGGGGGACTGAATGGTGGCAACCCAAATGTGCGGAAGCCACCAAGGCTGACATCACCAGATCCCAGCGGGATCCAGTTGCCCTCTCAAGCCCAGCTGTGACTCATGGCAGCGCAGCAGGAACACAGAGCCACCTCTGCTCTCCCACCCCAGCTGTCTTGGAGCCTTTGTAATATTTTGGTGTGCAGCTCACAAGCACGATCACTGGGTCATCCTTGCATTAACAGACACACCACATCTACTGCTTTGTCCAAGAGGAAGCTCAGCAGGTTTAACAAAATGGTTTTGTACAACAAGCTATTGATAAAACCTACTCAGGAGCAAACTGGTGGACTTGGCCAAGCCATCATATTCAACAGAGCAGGTGATGCTGCTGTCTTTGGTCACGTTGAGCCACAGTTTGCCAGTGACGCTGTATGTGCTGCGTGCATCGAGCACCCAGATGGCATTCCACTGCACGGTCCCGTTGTTGAAGAATCCAGAGATTTTGGGTTTGGGGAAGCCTCCATGAGAAGAGCAGTTTACCACCATCTCAGTTGATTCGCAAGAACGAGCGGTGATTTCTGCTGTTATGTTCGGCTCACTGAAGTCAGCTGTAGCAAGAAAAGATTTAGTTACCATTCTGTCAGATTACAGCGAGGGCTGCGGTCCTGATCACCCAAAGCAAAGACTCCCCCACAGGGCCTTCTTCCTCTGTCATAATCTCTTTGGCCTGTCTCGTGCCTTAGTGCTCTTCCCATGGCCTTGACTGGATACGGCCTTGGCCTTTGCTTCCTCTCCTCCCTGGGCTGTACACAGACTTCATCACCCCACCCCTCCAACGCTGCCGTTTCTCTCTATATACACCAGTTTGTGGGACAACAGAAGGAATCATAAAACAGGTAGGAAAAATATGGGACTGAATAAATACATTACAAGCGGTGGTAAGCAATTTCCTTTTCCCTCCCTCATTAGTTCCTTCCCAGCCAGAAGCTCCTAGAGGGTCCATCTCTGCTGGGAAAGGAGATGAGCTGCATGTTGATCCTTCAGCTGGGATGGCCAGAAAAAGACCAAATTACATTTTCTGCATGAGAGCCCCTCCAGAAGACCCAATCGAGAGCAAGGCCAAGTCACATAAGTCATTGCAAAAAGGCATAGCAATACATAGGTCCTCTCAGACCATGTTCTCCCTGGACTCCTGTCTTTGCCAAAGACAGTTTTCAGAGGATTCCCACCCCTGCAGCTTGTTCCATGCCTTCCCACCTGGTCAGATGTACTGCTGTAAGAGTCTGTGAGGCTGCACAGTGAAATGGATGAAAGGACTAATACGAGTTAAGAAGGAGAATAAAGGTGGTGTCTCTTTTAGCCTGGTTCCCTTTGCCAATCTGGTTCACCATGTCGCTGTAAGCAGTTGCACTGGTACAACTGAGGATGCCCAGGATGAGGAGGAGGAGGCAAGGGGTGGGAAACGAATTATTTTAGGCAACTCTCCCACTGGAAAAATCTCTGTGGGACCACATCTTTAGCAAGAGAAGTACGTCAGGAAAAAAACCAAAACCTCAGAATGTGGCTTCCTGGTGGGTGTAAGTCACGCCAACACCACTGCTGTAAAAGGGACAACGCATCCTCCACAGCTTCTGCTGACCACCAGCCCACGGTCTAGGCTGCTGAGTAATGAGCAAAAGAAACTTGCTCAACATTGCACGGCTGACCAGGGGCAGACGAGGAGAGACCCAGGTTTCCTTCCCATCTGCTGAGCAACACAGTGCTGACATCCAGGCTGGGAAGCCCCTTCAAAGCTCCCAGCTGGCCTCACTGAGGCTCCCCACTCACTCACTGGGGAGTAACACCTTTCTGAGGCAGCTGGATTCCAGCAGGGACAAGGGGAGCTTTCCCTTTGCTGCTCCCCACAATAACTGACCTCACTTTTCTCAAGGGAGCAGAAGTCTACCACAACTGTTACAAGTGGCCTGTTAAGGCAGCAAGGAGATTTATGGAAGGAAAGAAACTGCAGTGTTTGTGGGGAAGAAAAGAGCTCCATTGTTTCACATTTTTCATGTAGTTAACTCCCCAACCTTCACAGCTAGAAAGGGTGCTGGCACCGCACTTCCCTTTTTTCATAACTGTTCCCAGAAAGATCACTAAATTTGTCTCCTTGCATGCCCATTTGTCTCCCACCATGCCCTCAGACAAGCAGGCAATGGCCAAACCTCAGGACTTTGGGGGTTTTTTTTGCTGCTGAATCTCATTCCAGATGGGGAATGCTCATTCACTGGCTCGTCTGAAAGATTCCTGGAACTCTCTGCTGCTAAGGGTATTCAAATGTGTGTGTATATTTATACACATTACCAGTATCTCTGCCTTTGGTGGAAACCAACTGCTGCAAAAAACAGTGGTGGAAATGGAAAATAATATCAATGGAACTTTTTGTAGCCTCCAAGAAGAGATTCAGGTTCATTTTGAGCAAAGGAACTTGAGTTGTTTCGTTGAGGTAAAAAGCCCCAAATCTCCAGCAGAGATCAGCCTTAGGTTGCAGAGCTGCAGTGCCACCGGCAAGTGACTGGCTCCAGGAAAGCCTTGGCTCCTAAGGGGCTGGATGCAGGGCTGAGATACTGCTGTGGCAAACAGAGATCCAATGCCACCCCGTTCCCTTTTTGGCTTGGATGCTCCCCACGTACCAAGGGCTTGGTCTCTGCTTTGCCCAAAAGACAGCAGGGGGCAGAGGCAGCCCAGGGCATCCACCAGGAGTGGTACCTGGGGAGGTATCCTTGTCCAAAAGAGAGGCATCAAGGGGAGCACAGTGAGCTGGTGGTGGGAAAGGCAAATTTTATGCACCTGGCATAGCTTTGGAAAGGTAAGGAGGGAGGTTGCTAGAACGGAAATACAGGAGCCTTAACACACCTCCCAGCACTCTTTTAGGCTTCCTGATGAAAGCCTATCTGCTGCACTATGAGTAAAGCTTGGAGGAGTGTCTCTTTACGCCAGAGATTGGCACCAGAAAGCCCCAGGTGTCAAGAGGCATCCACCTACCTGTAACGAAGAGGGTGACAGACTCATCACACACAACTACGTTCTGCAAAACCTTGCGGTGCTGAACTATGCACTGGTAGGGGCCATTGTCCAGGATTTCCACGGGGGAGATCCACAGGGTGAGGTTCCTGGTGTTCATCTCCGTCCGGTTCTCATATCGCTTGTCCTTGAAGATCATCTTCCCCTCCGAGTAGGCAAGCACTACCTCCGTGGTGTTCTTCTGCCAGTAGACCCGGTAGTTGTGCAGGCTTTCCGAGCTGGGAATTTCATAACAACACGGCAGGCCCACTTTTTCCCCCAGTTTGCTTTTGACTACTTTCTTCTCCAGTGCACAGCCTACAGGTAGGGGCAAACAAGAGTCAGTGAGACAGTGGTGTAGCCTTGTGCCAGGACCTGCTGCATCAAGCTCATCCCTTTTGGCTCTGCCTGTGCCCACTAAGGTACCTCACCACCCACCAAGCCGTTCACAACTCCAGCTCTGCACTGAGGGGAGGCCGACCTTGGCACTGCCTTTTACACCATGGTCCTGCTTAGGATCCTGAGCTAGCAGGCACGCAATGATTTCTGCACGGGTTACTGAAAGCAAAGGCAGGACAGTTACCTGCCCAAACAGAAATTCTGCTGACCCCTGAAACTCCCCCCCCACCTTAAAATAAAGCATTGACAGTATTAATGTAAAGGGATTAAAAAAATACACAAGCCAAAACTGCTAACTCCTCTGCTCTCCCTTTTCAGAGCTCAGTGTTTGGAAGTTCGTGTTACCTCTCCGGTGAGTTCCTTACATACCAAACAGAGCCACAGTGGACTTTCAGTTTGGGGTTTTGGGGCTTTTTTTTGGGAAGGGTTTTTGGTTTTTTTTTTCATAAAAGAAAAAGCCCAAACCTTTCAAGATCCCAGAAGCAACCCTACAACGATAAACAAGGGTTACAGCCACACTGTCATCCACCTCCTAGTATTAGCAAGTGTACGATTTTCCCTAGTCTAGCTAAAACAAATTTATATTTGCTAAGGGCCATGGATCTCCCTTGGGATTACTTGAAAACCAGCAGAGGCATTCCCCAACTCCTGCCCAGCGACCGTGTTGGTGCCATATCTCGTATACAGGCACGTATTTACCATAACAAGCTGAGGCACTTGCAAGTGGGAAATTAGGCACAACAGTGACCAGGTTAGCAGTAATCCTCCTGCTCCACACTACAACTTCCATGCACGTTGCTCCTGTGATCAGCCCTGCTTTCCCACTCCCCTTCCTCCTTCCAGCGGGTGGGCGCTCGCAGGGGCCTGGACCTGACATGCGAGGGAGCATTTTAGCAGAAAGTGACTGCTGCTGCTGGAAGAGTGACCCAGTACTGACATGCGATCCTGTGCTACACCAAGGCCAGGGCAGATGGTTGGGCTTTCACCTGGGTTTGTGCAACCTTCAGGATGACGTTTACACCTGCGCACCCTGCTTTGTTAGTCCAGAAAGTCAGGCTGCTTTACGTTTGTCCTGCTTGCCCCAGCCTCACTACCTTAGCACCCATCTCCAGTAGCGGGAGGGGAATACCAATCTGTTGCACTCCATTGCCTGAGAGCAGAAAAACAAGGAAATAGAACAGAGAAGATTCAAATTCCCTCTTTCTTCCCTGCAGGACAGGCCTCAGTAAGTGTGTCTGAGAAAGTGGGGAAGTCCTGAGTAGGCAGTGTGCCACTGGTGGGGAGAGCGCAGCATCAGCCATTGGTGGAGGTGAGACCCCACGTGCAAAGCCTCAGCCCGAAACGTGAACCGAACACTTGACAAACCTGAGCCCAGGACCTGCCACCCACCCCAGCAAAGCCTGGCTGATACAGGCTCACACGTTACTGTCACTGCTGACACCCAACCGCAGCCACACCACACAGGGACGCGGAGCGCAGCACTCAGGGTGTCACTGGGTGCTGTGACAGATCAGCTGAGTGTCCAAAACAGCCACAAGGGCTTGTTTCCTTAGTGGCGACTTACAGACCCCAGGGACCCCATCATGCAGCCAGCAGCAAGCCTCCTGTGGCACTCTGACCTGGGCCCAGCGGCACACCCTGAGGAAGCTCTTCACAGCCCTCCAGCTGCTGGTGCTGGAAGGAGAAAGGCAGACACCCCACCAATCCCCCCACACTGATAGATGTTGGGCAGCATCGGGGGCTGCTTGCTGAAGTTAAGCCCAGAGAACCTGGGACAGAATATGGAATAAGCTTTCACCTCCCACCCTGCAGCACACCTACTCCTGTCCCACTTGCACACTTTACATTACACTGTAGAAGTACTGGGGAGGCTCTGGCAACATTATTTTAATATGAATTAAATAAAATAGAATACGTCATGAAATGAGCAACTTCTCACTTAGCTGGTTTCCCTCCACTCAGCCACTTCATTGGTCTTCCAAGGGGAAAGATTCAAACACAATTCTGCCCTCCCTATTACCTGTACTTCCCCTTATAATGCACTGCAGACTGGGGCAGAGCAGGAGCCCACTCAGCCCGCTGACCTGTGTCAGCCAGCAACTGGTAGTAACGTGGTAGAAAAACCAGTTCCTCCACACCACACAGGGTGAGAACTGCCATGTCCTGTCAACCTTCGGCAGCCAGGGACTTAGGGATTTCCTGACATCAGCAGTTTAGTTGCTACTGCTAAACCTCCCTTTCAGGAGCAGTTCTTGCCCCTTCAGAAGTGTACATGTATCTTTGGCTTCCACAGATCCTGTGACAGTGAGTTACGCTGTTTGATGACATGCTGTGTGAAAAAGCATTTCCTTCTGTTCGCCTTAGAAGCAGCCCACTTTGGGCTGTGATTCTTGTAGTTCCTCCTCCTGGGTGTCTGCACGCATTTGTGTGTGTTTTTTCCCCCTCAACCGCATCTTTGCTTGTTCTCACAGTTCAGCTCTTACAGCTGGAGACACTCACCAGAGCAGCCAGCCAAACTCTGGGATTGTGGAGCCCGGTAAAGACAATTTTCTGTTTTCTATCGCAGCAATAGGGGAAGAGTAGGTGTACAGTAAATGTCAGGGTGACATCGCATCATGAGTTGCATGAGGTTCTCTGCCTCTTGCCCCAAAGAGTCTCCCTTGCAACCAAAAGGAGAACAAAAACCTTCTTGGCAGTACATGTGCAGGGGCTGGAAACTCCTGCTGATGTCACATCACCCTTAAAAGGCTCTGCACCCTTGAAACTGCAACCTGAATGCTGCAAGCCTGAAGGAACCAAAGTCCATGAAGAGTCATTCAGCCCCACAAAAGTCCCCTTTCACTTCAAAGGTGAACTGCAAAGCAAAATTGAAAATTCAGCTCTGTCCCATTTCTGTGCTGAATGCTCTCTGTAACCAGGCTGTGGGGGAGGTATCCACCGTGGAAATAATTTTAAAGAACATTTCTAGAAGAAAAATTAAAACCAAAATCTCTCCTCCTCCCACACCCCCGAAGCCCACCCGCTTCCTTGCTGTGCACACGCCGCTCTGTCGCTGGAAGACCGCAGCCCGTATCCCCATTTCCCGCACCCCTTGCGCAAGCTGCGTTTCAGGACTTCTGTGGCCACAGAGAGCTAGGTTATCCTTGCCACAGGTGGTATGAGAGAGCAGATTGCCTCTGGGACAGAAGTCCTGGAGGGATGTTTGACTGTGACAGGCAGTAAAATACCACGCAATGCTCTAGAGAAGCAGCATTAAACCATTGGAAACCTCCAGATAATTCCTGGTGAACAGAAACTCCAAAGCCATTCTGTTTCCCCTCCATTCCCCATTTCTCCGTCTTTCTGAACTGCTTTGCCTTATTTTGGTCTTACCTCACTTTACACACAACCCACAGAGTAACGCACATGAAGGGAAAGGTCCTTCTTGGTGGGCCTGGAGTCCTTTTCCCCTGTGTAAGCAGCAGGTAAGACAGTGGGTCTGCCCAATATTTTGACCAACAGTCCTGTGTGGAGTTAAAATTTAGCAAACATCCTGCGCTACTGGAATATACTGGAATATATGAAGAACTACTTTGTATTTAAGCTAAATCAGTGCTGTGACACTGCAAATACACTGAACACAGAAAAGACACCAGAAAACTTCCATGTGGAGACACTGCGACATTTCAGCAGCACATAAAATCAGAGCTGTCTCCTGCGTTTTGCTGTAAAGACCCTGTGAAATGAGAAAGAGGGGATGAAGGAGAGAAAACGGGGTGCTGGCAGGCACTGCTGGCTGCCAGCTTTAAAGAGTCCATGACTGCCCATTGACCCAGGCACGACTGCCTGGCAAGCCTTCTAAGCTCCTTCTGCCCAGGCCCCAATTCAGCAAGCGGAGGCACGCAAAGGGAGATTTTGGCATGTAGAGAAAGAAGGAGCGGCCCTTGCCCCTTCCACAACCCCAAACCCAACCTTCCGGTCACAAACCACAGGCCCGCTGCTGCCCTTCAGCTGCGCTGGCAAAGCAAAGCAGCTGCAAACGCGGTTTGCCTTGCCCATGCCACGGTGACCTCCTGCGAGGTCATGCTCCCTTACTCAGCCCAAATGCGGCGAGAGAGAAAAGCAAAAGAGAATGCATCCTGAAGAAAAACAGCAACGCACCCCACTCGGCAGCGGTTCCCCTCAGTCTCACTTCCCTGTGCCCACCCATGCCAGTCAAGCGTGCCCACGGCCATTAAGTGGCAGGATTAATCCCAGTTTACAGCGATGGCTTGTCTGAGGTAGGGAAACAGTTTAAAGAGGCTTTTCTAGAAGTTCAGCTCTGCCTCTGTGCTGTAACCTCAGGGTGCCCTGCTCAGAGCGGGACAGCAAGGGCACGGCACCATTTATGCAGCTTTGTGCACTTCCCATCGCCATATTCCTCCTAAACAAAGCAGTAACCTTGCTTCTCACAGCTGTGCACTGCACAATTTGGCAGCGGTTAGAATATTCCCATGGCGTTGTGGTGCCTGGATCCTTCGGCAGCCTTTGCTCCTTTTCAATGCTGGTTTGTTTCGCGTGCAAAGCCTTTAGTGAAGAAATCCTTGATATCGTGAAGTGGCTGTGGAAACCAGAGGATGCCTTCCTGCACCCTATAGATGGAAAGACAGCCTATCTTTGGGGGTGTGCACTAACCCCACTTTTGTGTTTGCCAGCAGCACGTTAACTTGAGGCGCTATTGATGACAAATGAAATTCTCAGTCTTATTTGTCTCCCTGAGCATACTTTGGTAAGCGGTGATGTACTGTGCATAACACCCATTTTGGGGTAGTTCACAGGGCGCTCTCAACACATATTGGTGTCCTAAGTGGTCCAAGTTTCTTAGACATGGTCCGAGTTTCTTAGACACACATTGCTCCCCCTGAAGCCCTTCCTGCAACTACAATTTCCTTTGCAAGTTG